CACATACATGATACTGTTTCAATAAACTTAAAACATTTCAAAAATCTAGAAAGTATAGTAGTTAGCAAATTCATTTATTAATTTGTTTTTTATTTCAAAGTATTATGGGGGTACAATTTTTTTTGGTCATAAGGATTGCTTTTGTAATGCTTGAGTCAGGGTTACAAGTATGCCCATCACCCAGGAAGTGTTCATTATACTTTTCAAAAGAAGACAGACAAATGGCCAATAAACATATAAATGATATAAATGTTTTGATTTTCTGCATATCAAGTCAATAGCTATACCAAGTGTTCTCTACTTTTTTTTAACCAAATATCCCATCAACTAATATTTATAAAATACAAATTATCAAAACATCCCTTTAGATTAGACTATAATTAGTTTGGCAAGTGAAAGCCAAGATACGAAGTGAAAAGGTCTGAATTTGAGTGTCTCAGTTCATTTATTTTATTTTTTTAAACAAACTTGGAAATGCGACTTGACTTCTCTGTGCCTTAAATTCCTATTCTAAGAAATTAAAATAGTATGTATTAGGAGATTTAAGTGAGATTATGTAAGTAAAGAAATTTTGCAAGCTTTAAAGATTTAGAAATGTCTTTTTGCCAATCTTAGAAGCATTCTGCAAATCCAGTGTAGTATGTCTTCTCAGTGAAAGCAGTGTGTAATATAATTATCAGTTTTTCTAGTCTCCCTCTATCCTTTTCAGATCCAATTTACCTCTTTTCACTCTTATTCATGATTGAAATATCTGATAATATTCCAGGTGAAGGAAATGTGACTTAAAGTAGGAGGAAGAATGTGGGCAAATCTGTGTCGTACTTTCCAATTAACAAGTGGGAAAGCATTTATAAATACATGGGTAGATAGTGCAGTGCAGACTGAGCCAGTGAGGCATGGCTGGGAGACCTAGCTCTATGCCAACTGCCATTGTGGTGCTTGTAACAAATTATTTGTTGTCATATTGATGGCCTTGTGTCCAATGAGCCATTTAAGAGATCACTGTTTAAAAATGAATGAATTATTCTGTCCTATCTTTTCAACCATTTGTTATAGCGGTTGCACTAATTTTCCAAATCACTTAAAAATATGTTCCCATTATAAATGTAAAACATAAATGCCTCTGTTATACTTACATTGCATCAAAAAATCTACATTTTTTTTTTCTGCATATGAAACTAAAGAAGACAACCATCCCTGTCACTTTCTCCTGTATCTTCCATCAGATAATAACTTCTGTTTCACTTAGGACACTAATGAAATTTTTTTTCACC